ATTGTGGAGATCTTCCACCTCCCTAGTTAGCTGTATTCCTAGGTATTTTATTCTTTTTGTGGCAATTATGAATGGGATTGCCTTTCTGATTTGGCTCTCAGCTTGGCTGTTGTTGGCATATAGGAATGTTAATGATTTTTGTACATTGTTTTGTATCCTGAAACTTTGCTGAAGTTGTTTATCAGCTGAAAGAGCTTTTTGATCAAGACTATGGGATTTTCTAATACAGAATCAAGTTGTCTGCAAACAGAGATAGTTTGACTTCCCTTTTCCTGTTTAGGCGGACTTTATTTCTTTCTCTCGCCTGATTGCTCTGGCTAGGACTTTCAATACTATGTTGAATAGGAGTGGTGAGAGAGAGCATCCTTGTCTTGTGCTGGTTTACAAGGGGAATGATTCCAGCTTTTGTCCATTCAATATAATGTTGGTTGTGGGGTTGTTGATTGATTTTCAAATGTTAATAACCTTGAATTCCTGATCATTCTTGCTTGGTCATGACATATTTCTAGATTGTATGTTTTAATAATTTTTAGTGGTTTTTGCATCCATGTTCCTGAGCTAATTTTCTTTATTCTAATGTGCTTGTCAGTGTTTGATGTCAGAGTTATGCTGGCCTCAAAATAAATTTTGAAATGCCCCCACTTTTATTATCAGAAATAATTTATGGAAAATTTGTATTATTTATTTCATAAATGTTGGGCAGAATTTGCCACCTGGCCCCAGAGCTTCCTTTGCAGAAAAGGTTTTTAATCATGAATTCAATTTAAATATTAGAAATAGGGTTACTCAGAACTTCTATTTCCTCTTCTGTTAGTTTTGGCACAAATTTTAAGAAATTTTTCGAGTTTGCCTGAGTTATTGAATTTATTGGCAAAAAGTTGTTCATAATATTTCTTTATAATCATTTTAATGTAAAGACAATCTGTAATGATGTCCCCTGTACCATTCTTGGTATTGGCGATTTATGCTTTCTTTCATTTTTTTTACATTGTCTTAGTCAGGTCAGCCTGCCATAAAATATCACAGACTGGGTAACTTAAACAGCAGAAATTTATTTATCCTAGTTCTGGAGACTAGGTTGTACAAGATTAAGGTGCCAGCTAATTTGGTTTCTTGTGAGGGCTCTGTTTCTGATTTGAGGATGGCCACCTTCTAGCTGCATCCCCACATGACAGAGAAATAGAGGGAAGGGGTTAAGGGACAGGGAAAGAGCGCCTGCAAGTTCTCCAGTGTCTTTTCCAATAAAGATACTGATCCTATCAAATCAGGGATTCACCCATATTGACCTCATTAACTTAATTACCCTCTGTGTAGGTCCTTTGTCCAAATATATTCACACCAGGAGTTGGGGCTTCAACATATGAATTTGGAGTTGGGGGACACAATTTCATCTATAGCATGTCCGCTTAATAAATTGACTCTTTCGATGTGTTCCTCTTTGTCTCTTTTATGCTCTTTGCCTTGAAGTTTACTTTCTCTGGTATTATTATAGCCATATCAGCTTTCTTATGCTTATTATATATATTTTCATCTTTTTTCGTCTCAGTCTCTCTGTGTCTTTATATTTGAAGTGTATGTTTTGTAAACATGATATATTTGGGTCTTTTAAACTAAGATTTCTGACTTATTTCAAGTGTTGTATCTATGTTCACTTTATTATCTCTTTATTTGTTTTCTACTTGCCCCATTTGTTCTTTGTTTCTTTGTTCCTTCTTTCCTGTCCTCTTTTTGGATAAACTGAGTATGTTTTAGGATTCCAATTTAGCTCTTTTACTCATCATTTACTTATATTTCTTTGTGCTATTTGTTCTAATGCTTATAACATGTTGTTTTCCCATTGAGCTCATTGAGGTTTTGCTTACACTTGCCAGTTCAGTGGTCAATATGCATCCTTAACTTGTCTCAGTGTAACTTAAATTAATATTATACCAGTTTATTTGTGAAAAGGTCTTATAATAATGCAACTTTATTTATATTCACTCTCATTTGCATTATTGTCATATATTTTATTTCTGCCTGTGTTGTAAACACTATAATACTTTGCTATTATTTATTCTCTAAGTCATTAATTAACTTTTATAGAATTGAAAAAATGTATTTTTTATGTTTACCATTTCCAATGTTTATCTTTATTTTCTGTAGATCTGAAATTTCATCCTATACTATTTGTCTTTAAACTGAAGAATTTCCTTTAGGATATTTTGTAGTATGCATCTACTGACCAATTTTCTCACCTTTCATTTCTCTGAAAATGTTTTTAATTCACCTTACTTTAAAATAATTTTTTGCTGGATCAAAAAGATACTAGATTAAAAGTTGTTTATCTTGAGGCCTCCATTTCTCTGATATAAAATCACCTTTCATTATTATCCTTGTTCCTCCGTATTAATACGTTTCATGTCCTCCCCTCTGCCCCTGATTTTTCTTAATCTTTAGATTGCAGCAGTTTACTATGATATGTCTAGATGTGATTTTCTTTAGATCTGATTTTCTTTAGAATTATCTTACTTGGAAGTCACTGAGCTTCCTGAATCTATGTATTGCTGTCTTTTATCGACTTTTGATGTTATTTATCTAACATTTCCTCAAATGTTTGCTCTTCTCTTTCATTCTTTCTCTCCTCTCACAAGTTACTGAGGCTTTGTTTGTTGGGTTTTTTTTCTCTGTGAGCTTTAATCTGAAGGATATCTAATGACCTGTATTCAAGTTCACTGATTTCTTGTGCTTTTTCCAATCTATTGCTAGTCCCATTTATAAATTTATTTTTATATTTTTATTAAGAGAGTTTATTTTTTATAACAGATTTAGATATCTAGGACTGTAAACTAGTTCAACCATTGTGGAAGACAGTGTGGAGATTCCTCAAGGATCTAGAACTAGAAATACCATTTGACCCAGCCATCCCATTACTGGGCATATACTCAAAGGATTATAAATCATGCTGCTATAAAGACACATGCACACATATGTTTACTGTGGCACTATTCACAATAGCAAAGACTTGGAACCAACCCAAATGTCCATCAGTGACAGACTGGATTAAGAAAATGTTGCACATATACACCATGGAATACTATGCAGCCATGAAAAAAGGATGAGTTCATGTCCTTTGCAGGAACATGGATGCAGCTGGAAATCATCATTCTCAGCAAACTATCGCAAGAACAGAAAACCAAACACCACATGTTCTCACTCATAGGTGGGAATTGAACAATGAGAGCACTTGGGCACAGGAAGGGGAACATCACACACCAGGGCCTGTTTTGGGTTGGGGGGAGGGGAGAGGGATAGTATTAGAGATATACCTAATGTAAATGACGAGTTAATGGATACAGCACACCAACATGGCACATGTATACATATGTAACAAACCTGCACATTGTGCACATGTACCCTAGAACATAAAGTATAATAAAAAAAAGAAAAATTGAACAGATAATACAGAGTTTGCCTATTATCTGCCAGCACACACACACAGTTTTCCCCACATTAATATCTTACATTAATGTAGTAGATTTGCTACAATTCATGAACTAATATTGATACATAGCAATTAACTAAAGTCCATAGTTTATTCAGATTTCTTTAGTTTTTATGTAATGTTCTTTTTCTTTCCAGGATCCCGGTCAGAATACCACATTGCATTTAGCTGTTCTGTCTCCTTAAGCTCCTCTTGGCTGTAACAGTTTCTCAGGCTTTCCATGGTTTTGATCACCTTGACAGTTTTGAGGACTACTGGTCAAGTACATAGTTGGATGGCCCTCTTGGAGTTTTTCTGATGTTTTTCTCATCAGTTAGACTGGAGGGTAGGTTTGAGGGAAGAAGATCACAGATGTAAAGTTCCACTCACATCATATCAAGGCTACAGACTATCAACATGATTGATGATTATTGATGTTGACCTTCATGCCCTGGCTGAAGTCATGTTTCTCAGGTTTCTCCACTGTAAAGTTACTCTTTTGCTCTTTTCCATACTGTACTCTCTGGAAGGAAGTCACTATGAGTAGTCCACATTTAAGGAGTGGGGAGTTATGCTCCATCCTTGAGGGGAAGAATATCTACAAATATTATTTGGAATTCTTCTTTACAAGACATTCGCCTCTTCTCCACAATTTAGTAATTTATTTAATCACTTATTTATATCAGTATGGACTCATGGATATTTATTTTATTTTGGTGGTTATAATCCAATATGACTATTTATTTTGTTGCTCAAGTTGTTCAAGTTTGGGCCATCTTTTGCTGTAGGCAAATTTATTATATATTTATTATAGTAATTTCAAAGTTATTGTCTGCTAATTTCAACATCTTGGTCATCTGTGGTCCTTTTTCTTTGGCTGATTTTTTTCTTGACTACAGGTCACGTTTTCCTGCTTCTTCACCTGTCTAGTCATTTTTTATTTTATGCTGGACATTTTTTTTTTTAATTTTGGGATGGAGTTTCACTCTTGTTGCCCAGGCTGGAGTGCAATGGCACGATCTCAGTTCACTGCAACCTCCACCTCCCAGGTTCAAGTGGTTCTCCTGCCTCAGCCTCCCAAGTAGCTGGGATTACAGGCACCTGCCACAATGCCTGGCTAATTTTTTGTATTTTTAGTCGAGATGGGGCTTCAATGTGTTGGCCAGGTGGGTCTCGAACTCCTGACCTCAGGCGATCCACCTGCATCGGCCTTCCAAAGTGCTGGGTGGCATAAGCCACCGCGCCCGGCCCGACATTTTGATGATACTCTCTAGAGACTTGGTTTTATTATCTCTCTGAAGAGTAAAACAATTGTTTTGGCCAGTGGTTACATTACTTTTAGATAACTTTTAACTTTTGGATTCCTGGCGTTATGCTTTGCTTGGTGGAAAACTCTATTTCAGGTTTATTCCTGATCTAAAAATGAATCCTTCCATTATAAGATATAGTCTTTACTTCTAATGTGTTGCCATTCTGGGGATTTGTTGCCATGCCCTCACACTTTGTAGAATTCTGAATCCAAATTCTGTCTCCCTGGATTGGGTGGATTCTGAAATCTCTGCCCAGCGATTCCACCTTTGCAGCCGTTGCTCTCCCTTTGGGTTCTTTCAAGTCTTGCCTGCACATGTCAGTTCAAGAGGTATCCAAGGATCCGAAGGGAGTTTATATACAGAATTTGGAGATGTCTCTCTGTGGCCCCTCCTTTCTAGAATTGTCCTTAATCTCCAGCCATTTAGCAGCCCCGTACTCTGTCCTCTTGACTCTTCAAATCACTCAGAATGCAGCTTTCTTCATGAACAGCAGAGGGACTCACCCTCAGAGGAAAAAATAAGGTAGTTCTCACCCTGTGTGGTTGTCTTCTTTCCAAGACCATAGTCCCTAAATTTCTGCTGAGTTTGGGTTGCTCTCCACTTTCTTCAAAAAATAGTCTTTTAAGTATTTTTAAAATATTTTGTCTAACGTTTATAATTGGTCCAATACAAACTACTCTGCCAATATCAACATTCATAAGCTATTTATTTATTTATATTTATTTACTTCAGAAATAAAAGTCTTATTTTGTCATCCAGACTAGAGTGCAGTGGTGCAATCTGGGCCCAAGTGATCTTTTGCCTCATCCTCCTAAGTAGCTAGGATAACAGCCACACACCACAGTGTCTGACTTTTCTTTTTCTTTCCTTCTTTTTTTTTATTTTTTAAATTATTTATTAATTTATTTTTTTGGTAGAGGTGAGGTTTCCCTGTGTTTCCCAGGGTGGTCTCAAATTCCTGGCCTCAAGTGATCCCTCTCACCTCAACCTCTCAAACTGCTGGGATTACAGGCATGAGCCACCGCACTCGACCTGCTTAATATGTAGTTTTGACAGCCCCCTTAAATCTATCTGAATTAAGACAAGGTAAAAGTCAAATCAATGTGATGGTGTAAGCCAGGAGTTTGTCTGAACAGCTACTGTCCTTCTCTGAGCCTCCATTTACTGTAGAAGGGCTAATAATTCTCCCTGTATTGGCTAGTGGTGAAAGCTAAGGAACCTGGCATGCAGTAGGTGCTCTCTGAATGAGGCACCATTGGGACTCCCTTCCCTTTCCACTCAGTAGAGCTACCCAAGTGTCATGGCCTGCACATCAACTCCTGCAGCAAAAATGCAGTACTTCCTCACCTCTCTCCTGACTGTCTCTTCTAGCAGTGTCTGGCTCTTAAGAGCTTCTGGCCTATTCCATCCCAAGGCCCACTTGTAGGTGCATTTACAAAACTGTGAGTTCTACAAGGGTAGGGGTCTTGTCTTTCTCAGCTCTATATGTCCAGCGCCTTGAAAAGGAAAATAAATATAATAAGCATTCATCCATTCATTCATTTATCTAATACTATTGAGCACCTATTATATTCTGGGCACTATCCTAAGTGCTGTGATTCAGCACTGAACAAGAGGGACAATATCACTGCTCTTCCTGACATATTTGGTGGAGGAGGTGGGCAATATACTAATAGGTCAAATACATAGTATGCAAAGATGGTAATGAGAGCAATTTAGGATAAAACACGGGGGAGGGGAAGACAAGGCAAAAATGAGGAGAGCGTAGTATTAAATAATGAAGTCAGGAAAGGTGACATTGTGATCAAAGACTGAAACAAGGTGAATGAATGAACCATGCAGATACTTGGGGGACGAATATTCTAGTCAGAGGGAACAGTCCATGCCAAGGCCCTGTGGTGGGAGTATGCCTGACCTATGTGAGGAACAGTGAGAAGGACAGTGGGGCGGAACTTGGTGACTCATTTTAAAACCCCCTCTCTCTTTCTCCTGCCTCACACTTAGAGACTGGAGAAAAGAAGAGGAACCAGCAGACGGAAGCAAAGGCCAGTAAGGTTGGAGGAAAACAGAAAAGGCAGGTTGCTCTGGAAGGCAAGGAGGAAAGAGTGATCATGTGTGTGCCAGATGAGGACTGAGACTTCTCTGTTGGATTTAGCAACAAACAGGTCATCGGTGACCACAGCAAGGGCCATTTTGGTGAACAGATGGGGACACCAACCTGATAGGGTGAATTCAAGAGAGAAGAAGGAGGAGAACGGTTGAATGAGCAAGCTTAGGCAACACTTTGAGGGGTTTTGCTTAGGAGAGAAGCAGAGAAATAAATAGGGCAGGACTTGGAGGGGAATGAGGAGTCAAGAGGTTTAATTCTTTTTTTTTTTTTTTTTTTTTTTGACAGAGTCTTGCTCTGTTGCCCAGGCTAGAGTGCAGTGGTGTGATCTCTGCTCACTGTAACCTCCACCTCCCGGGTTCAAGTGATTCTCCTGCCTCAGCCTCCCAAATAGCTGGGACTACAGGCGTGTGCCACCTTGCCTGGCTAATTTTTGTATTTTCAGTCGAGATGGGGTTTCACCATATTGGCCAGGCTAGTCTTGAACTCCTGACCTCAAATGATCCACCCAACTCGGCCTCCCAAAGTGCTGGGATTGCAGGCGTGAACTGCTGCGCCCAGCCACTTCTCTTTTAAATGGGAAAAATATTTGCATGCTGTTTGCTGCTAATGGGGGTGATTGAATAAAAGGGGAAAATTTGAGGATGCAGGAGAGAGAGAAGCGATATTCTTAAGTAGGCCATGTGTCTTTGCCTCTCCTGGTCCCAGCACATTAATTGTTGATCGGGGAGTGACCCTTCTCCACCCCCTTCAGTTCAAATGGCCCAAATGAGGCTGCTTGAGTCCCTGGCTTCAGGAGTGGGCATTTGACCAGACCTGATCAATAAGAGCACTGCAGTCCCAGGTCAATGACCCAAGCTGCCCCACTCTGAGGTAAAGATCAACAGCCCTAGGAGTTTTGTTGGAGCACCTAAGAATGGGAGACTCTCTTTCCACTGGGGTGGCTGAACTGACAGGGTGTGGGCTCAGCTGTGCCTGCACCCAGAGCCTGACCCAGCATGGGGCCTGCCCCAGCATAGAGCCTGTCATGGGGCAGGCTAATGCCTGTGTAATACAGCTGGCTTCCTGGAGCCTGGCTGCCCTTCTCCCAGGCTGGTCTTTCCTTGCTCCATCACTCTGTTTTAGTTCCTCTGTAGTCATCATCACTACTTATCTTATTACTTAATTTGTTTATTCATTTATTATCTCTCCCACAGGAACCTTGATCTATCTTTTCCATTGGTGTATCCCCAGGATCTCTTTCTGGCATAGAACAAGGCTTCCAATAAATATTAGTTGATGGAATAAGTGAATCTGTAAGAATGTGCTACAGCTGCATATTCATCTTGAACCACACCTCACTTATCCAGGCATCTGGCAGCTTCAGCTATCTAGAATGCAACACAAATACCATAAAAGCCCTGGAGTTACCAAAATGCAAGTCACATGGACCATGTCTACAAGCACAAGCTTTTTGTTTTTGTAAACAGAGGTGCTCCCTCACTCAGAGATGAGAGGCTCCTACTGCAGGCGCAGTTCTTACATGCCCGATGAGTGGGTTATCCAACCACAACAGGTTAGTGGCAGGGTTCTGGGATGGGTGGGGCCGGCTAGAACGTAGTACATGAACACCAGTGAGAAAGGACATCTGGGGCCCAGAAGACCAGAAAACACCAGAAGGCAGATGACAGAACTCCAGGAGAAGGCGGACTGCAGGCTGGGCTTCAGTCCTCTGGGGATCCTCTGCGGTCCTCTGGGACTAGAGGACATAGGGGTGAGAGTGAGACTCAGAGGGCACAGAGCAAAGCTTAAATTATGCTCCACAGTGCCCTTTTCATAAACAGGAATGCAAGGTGCATTTTATCATCCATTTTTAAAGAGATTGATTCAATGCAGAGGAACAAGCAGAAGAAATAAAAATCAACTGTCGTCTTAGAGATGCCTCCAAGATGAGCGTGTGATATGGCAGGTATTGGTTCTGCTCGTCCATTCCAGTGTCATTAAATGTGCTTCACAAACATGACTCTTATTGGCTGCATAATATTCCATCACATGAACATCAAATATTCCCCTACTGGACAATTTGCTTCCAAATATTGGCTGTTAACCATAACATTATAGTGAGATTCTTGTACGTAATCATGGAGGCTCAGACCTGTCTCTTGATGGTAGAATTGCTCAGTCAAAAGTATGGGCATTCTAGGATGCGTTATACATGCAGTGAAATTTATCCATTCTGAAGCTGGGTATTGGCGCATTTTAGATGCTAAATTAATCAGATCTTGGTGGATAAAGAAATAAAGCTCATTGGCCGGGCGTGGTGGCTCACGCCTATAATCCCAGCACTTTGGGAGGCTGAGACAGGCAGATCACGAGGTCAGGAGATCGAGACCATCCTGGCTAACATGGTGAAACCCCGTCTCTACTAAAAATACTATAAAAAATTAGCTGGGCGTGGTGGCAGGCGCCTGTAGTCCCAGCTACTCGGGAGGCTGAGGCAGGAGAATGGCATGAACCTGGGGGGCGGAGCTTGCAGTGAGCCGAGATCGCGCCACTGCACTCCAGCCTGGGCGACACAGCAAGACTCCATCTCAAAAAAAAAAAAGAAAAGAAAAGAAAAAGAAAGAAAGTTCATTGTAGAAAAACCCCTGTGTAACACCTCTCATCCCTGGATAGTAACTGACTGGTGTCTTCCGGGTGCACAATCGTGTGTGTGCATGTGTGTATGCACGTGTGTGTGTGTTCATGCACCCACATTTCACTGGTACTATCCAACTACTCTGTGAGCTGTTCGTGGTAGGGATTGTCACCTCATTATACAGATTAAAAAGCTGGGGCTCAGAGGGCATGAATAGTACAGTAAAAGGAGCATGAGCAGACACACCTGGGCTTGGATCCCAACTCTGCTGCTCTTGAGCCTCATCCTCTTATCCATGAGGTGAGGATAGAGACACCTGCCTCCCAAGAGAGGGTGAAATGAGAGAGCAGATTGAAAGCATCTGGTACAAACTGGACACAGAAGGTGCTCAAGCAATGATATTTGTGGTCATTGCCAAGGTCACAGAGGCAGGAATGAACCCATGTCTCCTAACCACAAGCTAAGTGCATATTCTTGGCACCATCCTTCTTCGAACCAAATGCAAAAACTGAGACAGAAGGACTTGGAACAGTCTCCACATGGGGTTATCATTGCGTCATCCCCAGAGCCTTGCTATTAATCCAAAGGGACAAGGGGCCAGCATCTGAACCAAACTTAAAAATAATAGAGCCCACAGAAGTGAACAGCTGTCAGCTTGTGGCCCACTGGGACTGGGAGATCTTTCTCATGTTGAGCTGAATCCCAGCCTGCATCAGTGTTCTCCCAGCTTGGTATCTGGGAATCAATACTCACCTCCCAAATCTTGGACCATGGGGACACGCAAAACTTGCTGATGACAAGGATGAGAGGACCCCTCCTCCACCTAGGTCTCTGGGAAAGTTAATCCAGCTGCCAGGCCAGGCCATTCTGGGTAATGGATGCCTCTTTTTAATGCTCTCTGGGAGATGGGTCCTGCCTTAATCTGCTGCCGTGTCATTAAGAGAGAAAACATTTGCTCCATGGGGCTCCTGATGGCCTTCAGAAACTGCAAGTTAAACACTAACCAGGAAGGGCTGCTCAAGCCTTAACCCTCCCCTTCCCAGCACAGGCCAAGGCCTCAGCCAGACGGCTCTGCAGATCACTGGCCTGGGCTCCCAGGGACCCTGGGTCCTATTTCCAGGCTCTTCTCAGCCTGAGGAGCAAGTGAATGTGAGGAAAGAGGGAAGATAGAGGGCAGAGAAGAATTCTTGAGGCTCTCGGTCCAGGTGTTTGGAGGTGCCCCCACCACCTATCCCAGAGCTGGTTAGAGAGCAGAGCACTTAGAGGCCAGGTTGGGGCTGGTGACTTTGGGCCACTCTCTTAACCTCTCTGTTTGCCGAATTCCTACAGGGTGGGGGCTGGACGGGCTCCATCCCTCCAGGTAAAGCCTGGTGATCTTCTCCAAGAGAGGTGGCATGTCCTCAATCCCCCCAGGTCCCTGCACCAAAGCCTGTTCCCTGCTCAGACCACACGTGACCTGGTGGGGAGGCCACCTGTAGGGCAGAGGGAAGCAGCTGACCTGGATGAGCTGGCAGAGGTGGGGAGCCCCTGGTGTCAAGCGTCTCTGGGTGCCTGGCACTGTGCTGGGGCTCCACACACACAAAATGCCTGTGCCAGCCTCACAACCACCCTGTGGGGAAGGGGTGGTGTTCCTCCCACTTCATAGCTGACAGCACGGAGGCTCCGAGTGCAGAGGGAGTCCAGGTCAAACCCAGATCTGTCTGATTCCAAACCCAAACTCTTTCCCATCAGCCACTGGCAGAGAGCACAAGCGAGGGCGTGGCCTCACCTTGGCCCCTCTCCTCTTTGCACAGGCTGTCTCCCTTCCTCGCCTGTTTTCCCCTCCTCTATTCAACTCCTGCCCAGCCCAAGGCAAGACTCCTCCAGGAAGTCCTCCTTGATGTCTGACAGTCAAACCCCAAGGGTAATACCCAGCGAGGCTGCTGGTTGTTCAATTTGCCAACACAGCTTTAGATTTTGCCGCAGTGAGTGCAGATGCAAACATGAGCTAATTTTATTCTCTCACCAGGCTCACCAGTATTTGCTGGGCACTGACTTGGAGCCAGGGGCTGCAGGGTTGCAGAGCGCACAGGAACAAATATGCACTGAGCCCCTGCAGATGCCCTTCCTGTGCTCAGAGGAGCCTACATGTAACCTTAGGCAGGATCCTTCCCCCATTTGGCAGATGAGGCCCAGAGAAGAGGAGGAAGCTGCTCAGGGTCACCCAGTGAGCCGGTGGCTGGGATTCAACACTAGGCAAGTTCCCAGATCCACACCCACCCCTCCCCACACTCCCTGCCCCAGAACATTTTAAGCTCTCACTGCTGGGGCAGGACTGGCCCTTTGCCCTGGAGCTCTGGTCACTCAGGTGGGCTCCGTAGCCACAGCCACGCAGGGAAGGGAGTGACAGGGTGCAGCTGGCAGGATTCTATGTCACCCCTCCGTGACATGCCCACCTGCTCAGCCCAGCCGCCAGCCTGTTCCTCCACCTGGGGACTCAAAGCCCCTCACCAGCCCCCTGACCACTCACTTCCCCAAACTGTCCAGCTCCAGCTGGAGAAGCAACAGAACACAAATTAATGCATCTTCAGCTCTGGCTCCAAATGATTTTTCTCTCACCTTCCTGGGCTAATTCCTCATCAGCTCCATCCTCAGAGAAATATGAAAGGACCCAGAAGGTGAAGGCTGGTCCTAGCCTTGGGGGTCATGGGCCTGGCCGTGGGACTGGTGCGGGTTGATAAACTTAATTCCTTGGAGGTGATGGTGACATGGCTCAGCATGAAAGATGGTGTCCAGGTGTGTGCATGTGCATGTGAGGTCAGCAAAGCCCTCTCTGCTCCCGCAGGCCCTGGACCCAGGCCCTGGGGCTAAGCTGGGGCTGCTGCATGAGTCCCCAGTTTGCTAATGGAGGGGAGGCCTCCCTTGGTAATGAGCAGCATCACCTTACAAACTCCCCTGGGCCGCCACCTCTCAGACTTTATTTTTTCTGACTCAGTCTCAACTCGAAACAAGGAGAGAGGGGCGGAGAGAGAGAAAAGCTCCAAGCTGTCACCTTTGGTAGATGCTCAAGAAAAGGAGTATCTTGTTACAGGTGGGGAAACTGAGGCTCTAAGAGGAAGCTCAGTGTTTATACAAGCAGTTGGTGGCAGAGCTGGGACAGGCATCGGGACTCAGCAGGGCTCCTGACTGTCAGTGCATGCATGTGTAATGGTGTGTATGACAGTTAAGGACACAAATGCGAAGTGTGTGAGAGCATGTGCCTTAGTCTCAGAGTGTGAGTGTGAGAAACACTTGAGGGTGGTGGCCGTGGCTCTTCCCTTCAGCAACCCCCAGATCCTGTGGGTGACTCCTAGCAGATCTTCTGTGGCCCCAGCCTGTCCTTGCCAGACTCTGAGCTGACGTTCCATTCCAGAAAATTCTCAGCTGCTGGCCAGGAGCAGGAGGGAACCCAGTTGTTTCTATTTGGTCTTTATTGAATAAAAATGAAATTTAAACTCTTTGCAGGGAGGTAATTTTTCCTAATCACTCACCCTGCTGCACGGATCCCCACAACTTGATTCTGTGTAACTGGATTAATTGGATGGAGAGTGATTTCTTTTCTGTGAGAAAATTAACCACAGAGAAGGGGGGTCATTTCAGGCACAATGACTCCCTACCCCCAAGCAAGTTCCTGGGACCCAGGTTTTGGGTGGGGGGCTGCCTTGTTCCAAGGCCTCCCTCTGGCCTCTCCTCTCTCTGCCTCTCTCCCATCACTGGCTCCTTCTGTCACCGAGTCCCTATCACCATCTGTCTCTGTCTCCCATGTCCCTGACCCTCTCCTTTTCTGGGCTTCTGTGATCCTGACTGCGGGGGAGGCCACCGCCCTGCGCCCCTGCATTAAAGAGTCTGATGTTCTCCATGAGGGGAGGGGAAAGGCACAGTGTGAAGTGCTCAAGTTCACCTTCTGAAGCAGCTGGGGCTGAGGCGAGGGGGTCACGTGGGCAGCCCCCCATAGCCCCACCCCGTGTGCCACCAATATCCTGGTTTCCAAAGCCTTAAAACTACATAGAGTTTTACAGTTTGCACGGGCTGGATGCAGCCTGAGTGTCCACAGAGGGGGCTGCAGGGCCAGGCTGGGCCAGACCAGCTGTGGGGCTCAGGGAGGGCCTGGCTGGAAGAAGGAGGTCTGGGCAGCCCCTCTCTCAGCCTGAGGGAGGCTGAAGGGTCTGTAGTCCCAGTCGCTCCCCCATGGCCAAGCTGACACTTCCCTCCCACAGGTACAGAATCCCGGGCCCCAGACACCTGCTCCTTCCTGGAGATCAGCACCACCTTCCTTTCTGAATGCTGGGCCTGGGCCTGTCCTCAGCCACTGCTGCCCTGCAGCCCCTGCTGGGGGTCTCCCATCCCTGCCTCCTCAGGGCATCCCT